TTATATTGATAACAAACACTGAACTACTATTATGCCAACAATTGTAACTTGAAGAAAATATTCAGAAAACAAAATCGATAACAGCATATAAAGGCGATAATAAGATAATTCGGGGGAAAAAATTCAATGTCAAATTTTTTTTCTCATTCATTTACCTAATTCAATTTAATAATTACATATATTTTCTCAGGAATAAATAAAATGAATAATTTTGTTTTAATTGGAAAAATTTGATCAGCAATTTTTTTTCTATCTATATATTCCAATGAAAAAAAACAAATATTGATTCAAAAATGAAAAACTATTTGTTTTTCGAATATTCGATTGCAAACTTTTCAACAAATCTGATTGAATGAAACAGAAAGGAAAAAATTACTATCCATTTTATTAAATGTTGCAATGACAAATGTTTTTAATTATAATGATGATTACGATATACCAGTATTAAATTGATACCAGTTTTGGCTATAGTGGAGTAGAAAAGTTTGCCACAGAGAGATTCATCATAATACGATGATTACGAAATTCTAATTTTTCATTCATCATCATATATTGAAAGAGAATTCAAACATTGACAACAAACATTTTTTTTTGTTGGAAACATCACACCATTACTTGTAAATAAGTATGGGTATTTATATGATGATATACAAAAACAAAAAAAAATTGAATGCACTTCATTTTATCATCATTTTTCTCAATTTGATAAACCTTTAATTAGTAAACACAGGCAGACTTACACCAAGATTCAGTCATTGGATGTCAAATGAAAATTATCAACAACAAAAATATGCTCATATCCATAACACACAAAGACATTCATTTATATATTTGGAAAAAAAATCATTAATTCATCATTGATAAATTTTGAAATATGTTTGCGAAATACATGTAAATGCATTTTTTGTTTCTTAAATATTAACTTCGAAGTTATCATCATACTGATTGACATTTTTGATTTAAATTATTTCAAGATCATATTCATAAGATATATATCAATAATCTTATCTATTATTCGTTACTAGATTTGATATTATTTTTTCAATGAAAAATAAACTAATTTGTAAATTTAGGAAACAATTTATAAAGGCAACAAATGATAAGAAATATTTTTAAAAAACAATTATGTAATGTCCAGACATTAATGCTGAAACAGTTTGAAATATCATATTTATGAATAATTATTATAATGAAACAATTATGACCTAACTATCAATTTATTGTTTATAATAATTTCTCTATTTTATTCATATAATCAACATTAAACACATATTTATGGTTTTCATATATTTAAAAGGACATATATTCAACTAACAAAAATTTTATTTACACATCATTTAATGATTGTTTTTTCTTTGTCGTTGTCATCGTCGTCGTCTTCCTGTCATTGAATACGTTTTTCAATTCATTTTTCATCATCATTATAAAAATGATAATGCAAATAAAATATGAATCGTATACATCATATCGATCTTGTCTGTATGAAAAAAAATGAAAAATTTCATGCAATATGATCAACTTTTATTTCGTAATTTTCACATTAAATCTCTGACATTGTATACACACTGATGTATGAATCTTTTTATTTTATCCGGTGTAAAATCGATTTTTTTCAATGGATAATAACAATAATAATATAATTGAATCATTTATGAATAAAAAGAAAAAAATTTTCGGTTGAATATTTGATATTTTTTTTTGGTTTCTTAGTTTTTACTTATCGAAAGAATTGATTGAATTGAAATTCTAAAAATGGTGCAATATGTTTATGATGACGTAGTATTTAGTGATTGCTGTATTTACGAGGAAATTGGTTGTTAAAAGAAACAAACAAACAAAAGTTTCATCAGTCAACATTTGTATTTTCTGGTTTAACATAAATTCTGGTTGGCCATTATCCTTATAATTGCAATGACAATGATGACAACAACAACAACGACAACAACAAATAACAAGTATTGCCAATTTTATTTTCGTTTTTCATTTTCCTAAAACGAAACACCTAACTAACTAATATTTGATGCAATCGTTCAACATGATTGACTATGGTGATGATGCCATGGATATTGATTGTTTGACAAAATAATGGCCGATTACAACTACGAAGAATGATGAGAAAAATAAAAAATAAAAAATTTTCACAAAAAGAAATGAAACAAAACAGGAAAAAAATAAATTAATGAAATTCGCCTACACTTGATCATTTGAGCAATGTTTCCGTTCTTAACGCTTTGGAAAATGAAATCAAAAAGTCATAAAAAATTACTATGACTTCTTCATTGAATTTATTCACTTGAATTGAATTTTCATACTACTCATTTGTAATACATGTATCAGTAGATAAGGGTGCTGTTATTGATCATCATCATCATCATAATTATAATATTCATCTTTATCACGACAATCAATTGATGATGAAATTGTAAAATTTTTCCTCTTTTCTTTTTTTCCTTTATTTAATATATTATCTGTCAGATTCTAGGAAAAAATTCATGAAATATGATGAAAGCAAACGGAAAGACAAAGAGAATGTATGTATCGTATGAATGAGTGTGAAATGAAAAGATTTAAAAAATGTGAATGTTATGAAAATAGGATCTCCATTGTGTATACAAATATCAAAATTGATAAGCCGTTCACTATCAATTTTTTTTCCATTACATAAAATAATGATATCATTTAGAAGTGAATAGAAAATGATTTCCATCAAGCAAAATCTTTGATTTTAATTTTTGCAATCATAATAATAATTTTATAAATTTATTTCTTCCGATGATCATGTGATGAAGAAATGCAAATTTTTCATATATGGTTGATCAAACCGTTCTAAAAATGATATAGCAAGAAACCAAAACCTTGAAATTATGAAAAAAAAACGTTATAACAGAAACCTGTAATTCAGAAACAGATCGATAGATCATTAATCGATTGATCGATTAATGATGAATATAAAAATTTTAAAATTGAACAATTTTTTTTTCGTTTTTTTCATTGTTTTCGATTTAACCTTTAAATGTAGTGGTTTGCCTTGTATGAAATTTTTTTAAAAAAATATGAAGCAGAAATCAACAATCAAAAGAAAAATCGATATCCAACAAAACACAAACAATGATATGGATAGTATGTATAAGTTTGTTGTTCTTGAATTTCGAGTTTCAATTATAAATATTCAGCACTATACATTGATTCATTATATACAATAATGTTCAGTTGTTTTCGTAACCAATATTTTTTTGTTGTTGTTGACATTGACAATCCACATCATCATCATCATCAACAACAACAACAACAGATTCAATGGATTGATGTATGAATGAATGTTCAAAATAATGAACCAAGGTTGTTGATGTTGATTAATTTTTATTCATTTATCATCATCACCATTATTATCACCCATCATTATCATCATCATTGATTTTACATTTATCATATAAGAATGAATAAAAAGAAACGGGAAAAAAAGATTTTTTTTTATTTCAATTTCCGAAAAATTCCTGACTGATTTCGAAATTCGGAAAAAAGAAACGAAATAGCCCTGAATTGTACATAACATTAATTGATTTGATGATAATAATTAATAATCCTGACCGAATTACAATCAAATCGGATTATTATTATCATTATTATTATTATTTGTTTTGGATAAACCGGCAATTCTGGATATTTTCCGACCAAAAAAACAAACAAAACAAACAAAATAATGATGATAATAATCTGATTGGTAAGAAGTACAAAACAAAACAACAACAACAAATTTAATCAGAATTATTAGAAATAAAAATTAGAGATTTAGAGAATAAGAATGACCAACAAAAACAACAACAACAACAATAAGCCACATGACCATAATCATCACAACGGAATCATAATAATCGGCATTCGGAAATCCGAATTACCATTTCAATTTGAATGAATTTATTTTCCATTTATTTCATTTATATGTATGATATATGGAAATTGTCAACAAAAAAAAAAAAAAAAAAAAAATATTAATATCAAGCAAATAGGGGGAGGGAGAAAAAAAAACTATGTTAAATCATGACATTTTTTCAATTATGTTCTT